TCATGAATCGGGAGAAGCCTCGGCTCCGCCGCTCAGCTGGAGGAAGCGGGAGCGGAGGGAAGGCTCCAGCCGGCTCTGCCCGGACGGTTTTGCAAGCCTTGCTGTTTCAGCCCGGGAGGGCAGGAAGGGAAGGATTTTTGGCCAGAAAAAAGCCCTCGTGTAGACAGAGTTATATCAACAGCCGCCTTGCAGCGCAGACAATGCCAGTACAGAGAAACGTGATCCCCCGCCAGACCCCGGCCCTCTCGCCGAGCTCAGCCCTGCACGGCCCTCCCGTGCCTCAGTTTCCCCCCTCCCCAAATCCTTCCATGCCCTTTGGCGCGCACTGGGAGACCGGGATTTGCCCCCCGCAGCAGCCAGTTTGCTCGCAGCCCTTCCAAAACCTGGGGAGCAGCTCCGAACCCCCTGTCCCGGTACCGAGGGACCCCAGCCCGTGGCGGCACCTCCCGGGTGTCCCAGGGGGGACGAGCTTTGGCTGCGGGCGGGGGGAGAGGGCGAAAGCCAGGGGGTGCAGAGTGTGGGTTCAGGGATGGGGGGTGCTGGATGGGTCCGGCTCTGCGGTGGCGTGGGATGGAGAGGGGGGCTGGGTTGGGGGGCTGGGGGCTCCCCGCCGCCTTTGACAGCTCCCAGTGCAGCCAAGAGCGAGGAGGGAAAGCGGGGCGCGGGGCCAGCCCCCCCCTGCTCCTCACCCTAAGTACAACCAGCTGCATCCCGGAGCGGGACCGGCCGCTGCTCCTCCGCTCCCTCCGAGCCCGGGCGGCCGGGACTCCCCGGGCCCGGCGCCGCGGAGCCAAGTTCCGCCGTGCGGAGCCCCGAAGTGCGCGCGGGGCACGCTCGCAGCCCCCGCACTCACCCCCGCACTCATCCCCGCACTCATTCCCGCACTCATCCCCGCACTCATCCCCGCAGCCGGTCCCCCGCGGACCCCGCGCTCCCCTTTGTCCGCCCGCCCGCCCCCCGCCGCGCATCCCCCCGCTCCTACCGGCTTTGCAGGGGTCCTTGTAGTCCAGGGGCTCCTCGTCCTCCTCCTCTTCCTCCAGCACGTAGGAATAGTCCGGAAAGCGCAGGGCCCGGGCCAGGAGCAGGCAGAGGAGCAGCCCGCAGCTCCGCAGCCCGGCCATGGCTCCGGCCGGCGTTTTTTTTCCTCTCTTCCCTCTTTCCTTCCCTTCTTCGCTTTTTTTTTTTTTTTTTTTTTTCCCCCATCTTCAGATGGTCCTTTTCAAAAGGGAAATGAGATCTGGCGGGGGCGGGTTCAAGCTCGGAGCTCGGCCCCTGCAGCCCCGGGCGCAGGGCTCGGAGCGGGGCCAGCGCCGGGGGGGCGGCGGGGACGGGGACGAGGACCTGGCCTGCAGCCCCCGCTCCTGCCCCTCCGCAGCCCCCGGGCCGGCTCTTGCACGCCCCGGGCCGGGGCTGTCCCGTCCCGTCCCGTCCTGCACCCCCGGGTCCCGTTTCTTGTCCCCCGGTACCGCTCGTGCTCTCTCCGGTACCGTCCCATATCCCCGGTACCGATCCTGCCGAGCCGCCCCGCTCCCGTTGCATTTTCTCCGGTACCGATCCTGGTCTCCCCCGGTCCTGCTCCGCTTTTCCCGGTCCCAAACCCCCCCCACCCTCCGCCCCAGAACCGATCCTCACCCGCCGCTCCGTGTCTCCCGGTATTTCTCCTGCCTCACTCCGGTCCCATCCGGTGTCCCCAGCCCCGTTCGTGCCACCCCTCGGTCCCGTCTCGCATTCCCCGGTACCGATCCAGGCCCCCCTGCAAGCCCTGGATCAGTCCCGGCCCCCCAGTATTCCCGGGACACAAATTCCACATCTGCCAGCACCCCTCTGTCCCCTTCGGGGCCACCCCGTGTCCCCAGCACCCCCAAATTACCCAGTCCCACACCCCGTGTCCTGCTCTGGCACCCCAAATTCCCACACACATTCCCCACATTTCCCAGTCCTGGACTCCCAATCCTGCATGTCTGCTCCTTCACCCTCATCCTGCACCCCAAATCCTGGCCAGCACCCCAAGGACTGAATGAGCAGCCCAGGAGCTGGAAAAGCACCCTGGGAATGGTGGGGAAGGAGCCTGGGAACAGGATGAGCACCCCAGGAAAGTTGGGTGAATGGAGAAACACGCCAAAATCTGGGCCAGCACCCCAGGAAGGGTGACCAAGCACCCCAAAAGTTTCATGACCACTCAGAGGAGGGTGTATGAGCAGCCTGGGATCAGGATGAGCAGCCCAGGGTCTGGAAAAGCACCCTGGGAATGGTGGGGAAGGAGCCTGGGAGCAGGATGAGCACCCCAGGATGGTTGGGCGAGTGGATGAGAACCCAAAAGCTGGGCAAGCATCCCAGGAAGGGTGGCTAAGCACCCCAAAAGTGGGATGCCCACCTCGGGGAGGGTGGGTGAGCACCCTGGAGTCAGGATGAGCACCCCAGGAGCCGGGTCAGCCCCTCAGTGAGTGTTTGGGGAGCAGAGGGAGCCCCCAAGGGCGATCCCAGCCCCCAAGGGTGGCCAAGGCACAGAGACACAACCCTGTCCCCTTGCAGTGGCCCTGCCTGGGACATTCCAGCCAGGCAATGCTGCAGTAGGATCTGGCTCATCCCGTGCTGCTCCTGCAAACCCATCCCTCTCCTCTCACAGCGCTCCCAGACTTGCATCAACTTCACTTTTTAGGATTTTAAGTGTTTCCTGTGTCTGATGACCTCCAGAGGGACACACTGGGTGACACCAGCATCCAGGCTCTGCTCCTTCCCTGCCCACCAAGCCCCCAAATCCCCTTTCCCTCCACTTTTGGGGATCCCCTGCATCCAGGGCCTGGCTGGTTCCCACCAGGAGTTTCCTTCACCCTTATCTCTGTGTCCTTTTCCTCCCCCATTAGGATCATCCCAGGATGTTTTCCTCCTTCTCCCTTATTGCAAAACCCACATCCAGCAATACTTTCCTCCTCAAAGCAGATAAATAAACCCTGGAAAAGCGACTCCGTGTCCCCGCTCTGCCCCCGCCCTCACGTCACACAGCGCATCCCAGGGACGGGAATTTGGGGAGAAACTGCTGGATTCCACTCCCGCCTCAAGCCCTTGTCCCAGGAAGACAAACAAGCTTTTGGAATACTTTTTGTTTCCATCCTGCACTCGGGCTGGGGAGGATGTTTGCGGGCCGAGTCCCTGGATGATGTCAATCCATGATGTCAGGGTCCAGCCGTTGCTTTCCACCCTGAGATCGCCCCTTTCTCACGGAGCGCTCCGGGGGAGCTGAGCCTCGCCGAGGAGGCTTTTCCCAGCCCGGCTTTCCCACGGCAGGCTCGGCTCCTGGGAGCCTGGAGGCCGCTGGCCACCAGCATTGCAAGCTGCAGCACTACCTAGAAGAGGAGCAGGGCATCCCAGCCGGCCTGAGCGTCAGGATGGGAATGTCTTCATGCCAGGAGCCCTGGGTGGATGTCACCTGGCACGGGCACACGGATTCCAGGGCTCCTACCTCAGCCTGCCCGCCCTGCAGGGCTTCCTTGGCATCCTGGAATGTCAGGTGGGCGATGCCAGGGCCTGGCACCGGCACAGCCGTGAGGGTGGGGGACACTGGGAGCTGCCAGGAGCATTCCTGGATGCCATCCTCAGCTCTTTTATCTCCAAAACCTCCACAGCAAAGAGCAGCCTGGGGTGTTCCCAGTGCCTTTCCCCCATGGAACCAGGATCAGTGACCCCCGGGGAGACCCCTGTGCATGAGAGACTGGCACGGGATTGTCCCCTGTGCCACTGTGACACAACCCAGGGGGCTGGAGGGTGGCAGCTCCTCCTCCCAGGGATGGGATCCCCCACACCCAGCACCTGCTGGGGGGTTTTACTCTGATTTCCCCTGCCAGGACCCCCGAGGTCCCCACTGTGCCGCAAACCTCTGGAAATCGGGATACCGGAATTATTGCACAAGGACCTGGTCCTGCCAACTTTCTGTCACCTCCTCCATCTGCTCCGGCCTTGGGGGGAGGCTGAGGGAGTCTGGGGGTCAGGGAGGGTTTGGGAGGGGACACCCCGGAGCTGCAGGAGGCTCTGGATGGCTGCCCCAGCTCCCAGCCAGCTGCAGTTGTGCTTTCCCAGCACGAGCACCTTCCCTGGTGCCAGGAGGGGGAAAGGGGGCTGGACCCAGGTGTGGGGGCAGTGGGGGGCTGGTGGTCCTCACTTTGGGGCTGGTGGGCTCCCGTTCCCGGAGGATTGGATGGGCTGCTCCCTGTTTGTCTCAGCCCCAGGCCAATGTCCTGATCCCAATAATTCCTGGTCCTAATAATGCCAGAATCCCATCCTAATAAAGCCTGATCCCAATAAAATCGTGGTCCTTGTAACTCCTGATCCTGATAGAGCCAGCATCTCAGTCCTAATAGTGCCTGATCCCAATATCACCAATATCCCAGTCCTAACAACTCCTGATCCTAATAACACCAACATCCTGATCCTAATGATTTCTGACCCTAATAATTCCTGACCCTAATAGTACCAGCATTCCTGTCCTAATAACACCTCAGCCTAACAACGCCTGATCCCAACACCAGCTCCCTCATCCTGAAAATCCCAATAACTCCCAATTCTTATCATGCCTGATCCTGATAACTCCTGATCCCAGCAGCCTGTCCTAAATCACCCCCTTGCTAATGATCGCTGTCCTTTCGGCACAGGCTGTCTCCAGGAATAGCTCCCAGACCTGGTTCCTGCCCTTCTCCTTTATTCCAGCCTGGCAGAGCACAGACCCATTTTTCAGGCCAGCCTGGCTCTGGCAGCAGGATGGGCCAGCTCAGGTCATGCAGCCACGCTCAGGGGGACCCTCAGTGAGCCCCAGGCTGTGGCTTTGACAGAAATTCCCCCAAAATCCAAGCCCGGAGCCCCTCAAGGCGTTTTTAAGGCAGGGGGAAGGCGGGAGCTGGCGGGAGCGAAGAACTGGAACGGAGAATTGTGTTTTCTTTAAATGTCATGTTTTTTTAAGCTCATTTTTGCACTTGAGTTTGGCGAAGCTGAGAAGACTTAAGTGACAAACCAGCTGTCCCCCGGCACAGCGCAGACACCCTCGCTCCGCCCCCGGCCCCGCACCCGCAGCCCCCCCAGCGCCGACCCCCTGACCCCTCCTCACCCCCCACACCCCAAAATTTGGGTAGGGGGCGCGGGGGCGGCCGCGGAGGAGCCGCTGATGCTCCCAGCGGGGCTGTGCCTGTCGGGGGAGCTGCGAGGCAAAGCTGGCGCTGTGGGGGTGCTGCCGGGTGGGCGGGGGTCCCGCAGCCCCCTGCCCACCCCGCGGGGCTAAGCCCAGTACACAGGGAGGAGGCTGCACAGGATGCCCGCCGTGGTACCCAGGAGGGAGCGGTCAGCCAGGGGCATGGAGATCCTGTCCTCAGCCTGCACAGGGAGGGACAAAGGACATTCTTCATCATCATCTTCATCATTCCTCCCCTCAAGGAGGGGCTGCACAAGGCACTGAGCCCCCCTGACCCCCCCGGCCCAGCCAGGTCCTCACCTGCCGGCGCTGGAAGGTCTCCACCACGGTGTCCAGCCCCGGGATGTTGTCCTTGCCCACGCGGGTCACGTAGCAGGCGCGGTGCAGCCAGGCTCTGTAGCTCACCAGCAGCTGTTGGAAGCCAAACCCGGGTCAGCTCCATCCCATCTCCCCCTCCCCGTGTCCCCAGAGCCCCCCACTCACATTCTTGTAGTCGTAGATGACCGTGGCCGCGTTCCCGTCCCCGCTGTCCAGGTAGAAAGTGGCCGCGTCCTCTTCCCAGGCCGGTCCGGCCCACATCCCGCCCCGCAGGACCTGGAGGGGGCCGAGGGGGGATCTCAGAACCTGCAGCAGCCCCTTCCCTTCCCCCGGGCATGGGGGTGCCCACTCACGGTGTCGGCGTGGCGCTGCTCCACGCTCAGCCACATCAGCAGGGCGCCGGCGATGATGACCACCAGCAGCACCAGCACGACCACCACGATGAGCAGGCAGCGGAGGCGGCCGCAGCTCAGGAGCTTGCGAGGCAGGTAGCAGAGCAGCCGAGGGACGAAGCACAGCGACTTCTTGAGGCAGCCGGAGCAGCTGGCGCAGCCGGGACACTTGGGACACTTGGGACACTTGGGGCACTGGCAGCACTTGGGCAGGCAGCAGCATTTGGCGCAGCACAAGCTGCATTTGGTGCAGCATTTGGCGCAGCACGTGGCGCAGGGCAAGCAGCAGCCTGGGCAGCAGCAGCCGTTCCCCGAGTCCTGGGGGTGCGGGAAAGTGGGGGGAGAAGGGCTCAGGGGGTGGAGGTGGGAAATGGGGGGTGCGGGAGGTTGGGGGTGGGATTGCAGCTGGCATCCCGCTGCCCCTGGGCACTGGGAATGCAGCATGCCACGGTCCAAACCCCCATCCCGGGCACTGGTGCCTTGCTGGGATAATCTGGGCAAAGCCCCGTGCCCAGCTGGCTGCAGGGACACCGCGGTGTGGCAGTGCCACCCGGCAGGGACTCACCTCCTCTTCAAGCACCACCTGCTTCATGCTGCTCTCCATGGCTGCCTCCTCCTCCTCCTCCTCCTCCTCCTCCTGCTCCCATTCCCAGCCCAGCCTGACTGCAGGGACTGGGAACTTTATACTGGGGCACTGGGGTGGGGACCCTGTGAAGGGTTTGGTGGTCCTGGGGTGCAGCCAGGCCCTGGCATGTGACCCACTCCACTGGTGTTTGCTGAGCGCCCACTCCCAGCTGGATCCCCCTGGGAACCTGCTGCTCGAGAGGCTCCGAGGCCACTGGGTCAAGGACCCTTGTCCCCAGGCTCAGGGACTTCTCTGCTGCCCAGGAGCGAGGTGGCAGGGCCAAAGCAAACCCTCCAGGGTGGAGCATCAGGCTGTGGCTGCGCCCGAGGCCAGAGCTGGCTCGTGTCCCTTTGCCAGCTCGGGCACCTGGAGCTGCTTGGTGTGGCAAGGAACAAACAGGACATTAAAAATTTCCTGTAATCCACAGGGATGGGGTGGGAACGGGGTCACCATGGCGTGGGGAGTGTCCCTGTCCCTCATTGCTCCTGAGGCTGCTCGGACACCACTGCTGGTGGCCTTTGGTGCTGGCAGAGGTGCCCACAGTGTGGATTCATTTGGGGTGAGGGGGTCCCAGCTCTGGAATGTCCCCCTTATGTGGGAGGACACTGCTGAGCCTTGGTTTTGTTCATCCATGAGCCCCTCCTATACCTGGGACCCCTCCAGCCACCCCTGAGAGCCCCAACACCCCCAATACCGACTGGGGGGTGAACGCTGCCTCTTTTCCCAGGGAGTCAAGGGCCACGAGAGTCCCTTGAGTGGCTCCTGGCTGTTTGTTCTGTCCCTGTGGGAGCCCTTATCACCTTCCTGGCCCATGGCACCCTCATGACCCGGCTCCTTATCACCGTCAGGGTTTTTTGGGAAGCAGAGCTTCTGGCTCTGAGTCAGCACATGGAAACCTGCAATGTCCCTCCTGTTCCCAGCAAAGTGTCACCCTCTAGAGCTGTGACCCTGCTCTCTGCCTGTGTCAGTGACTTTGGGGACAACACTGAGTTTACAGCTCTGGAAAGATCAAATCAACTTCCAGGGGTCTCTTTTTCCCCTCCCAGCCATGCTGCTCCTCTGTTTTTCAGTGCAGCACTTGGAAGTGGCCCCAAAGGTTGCTCCCAGCTGATGAGGGGGCAAGAGGGGCTGGAAAGGATGGGAAAAGGGGGAGGATGGGGATGGGAATGTGAGGGAGATGGAGATGGAGCAAGTGGATCGTGGTGTCTGTGGTAACCCCTGGTTCCCACTGGGGACGTGGCACAGTCCCTCTGTCCCCACCTGCATGAGGAGGGGACAGGGTTGGGAACATTTCCTGAAGGGAGGGAAGTGCAGAGGTGGCTCCTTCCTCCTCACCCTCCATCCTCCAGACTGGAGAGCACAGGTGGGGATACTGGGAGGGGGGCACAGTTGGGGACACTGGGGGGACACAGGCAGGGACAATGGGAGGGCACAGGTGGGGACAATGGGAGCATTGTGTGCAGTTCTGCTGCTGTCCCCCCCTTATCTGATCCCTCCCAACATGAGGGATTCCCCTCCCCACCCTGCACCCCACAAGAGGACACCCCTGGGACACCGTGTCCCTGTCCCCAGCACCCAGGAAGGGCAAGAGCACACTTGGAGGCAGGAGCACAGGCTTTACTTTGTAGACAGAAGCAAATCCCAAAGCAAATCCCTCTTTTCTTAGGGTCAGAGCAGTGGGAAAGCCGCGGTGCCAAGCGACAGTGGGAGGAGCACCCCCGTGGCTGGGTGGCTGTCCCCGGGATGGGGACGAGGAGGAGGAGGAGAGATTCCCGGCTATCCCGCCTGGGAGGGGACAGTGGGGGACAGCGACATCCCCGTCTCGCTGTCCCATCCCGCTGGAGCTGCTGCTACGCCCAGAACACGGGGACGGCGCTGCAGAGGATGTTGATGGTGGTGCCCAGGATGGAGCGGTCAGCCAGGGGCACGGCCTTGTCCCCAACGTCCTCATCCTGCAGGACACAGAACGGAGCAGAGCAGCCACCCTCGGCAGCCACAGTGTCCCCTCCAGAGGGGACAAACCCCCAGCCCCACATTTCCCAGGGGCTGGGCTGTGCTGAGCCCGGTGCCGCGGCGGGCTGGTCACCGCTCACCTGCCGGCGCTGGAAGGTCTCGGTGACAGCGTCCAGCCCCGGGAAGTTGTCCTTGTCCACGCGGGTGATGTAGCAGGCGCGGTGACGCCAGGACCTGTAGCCGACCAGCAGCTGTTGGCAGACAGAGCCGGCTCAGCTCGGCGCGGTCCTGCGGCCGTGGCTCGGGTCCCCGTGTCCCCGCGCACCTTGCTGTAGTCGTACACCACCGCGGCCGAGCCGTTGAGCCCGTCCCGCACCGCGAACGTGCCGCTCCTTCCCTTCTGGCTCATGGCGAGCTTCTGGGGGCTCTCCTCGCCGTCCAGCCCGTGGATGCTCATTCGCAGCACCTGCCAGGGGGAGGGGGCTCAGGGAGCTCCGCGGGGGCTTCACCCCGTCCTACAAAGCCGCGGTGCCATCCCAACCCCCTCCCGGGGCCGGTGGCACCGGGGTCCCTTGCTGCCCTCACCGTCTCGGCGTGTGACTCGCTGAGGTGCAGCCCCAGCAGGAGGAAGGTGACGTTGACCACCACGAGGGCCACCACCACCAGCGCCACCATCAGCAAGAGGCTCTTGAGCTCGTGGGGGATGCAGGGCAGGCGCGGGGACTCCGTGTACCTCTGTTGGGGACACAGGAGAGCCGGGGGTGGCAGCGGGGGCTCAGCCCCACGCCCAGGGTGGGTGGTGGGTGCTCCTTACCGGAGGTGCCTCCTCCATCAGCGCCTCTTTAGAGCTGTCCTCCATCTCTCCGTGTGCTCCTGTTCCTTTGCCAGCCCGGGCCCGGGGGCATTTATGGGATCCCGGGTGGCCGGGGAAGGCTGGGGCCACTCCAGCTGCCGAGTGCCACTTGTGCTGTTTGTTGAGCCCGCAGAAGAGCCAGGGAGGGGACACAAAACCTCCGAGGGCCCTTCTGTGGCATTTGCCCTGCAGCGGTGGGGGTGCCAAGGCAAACAGCGGGCAGTGCCCGCCCTCCACACCCAGCGCGGGGCTGTGGCAGGAGGGGCCCCAGCACCCCCAGCACGTCCCCGGGGGGGCTGCACCCCTGGCTGTGCACGGGCAGCTGTGTGAGCCCCCCCGGGGCCGGGAAGGAGCTGGCTGGACTCATTGTTCCCGCGGGCTCCGTGCCAGGGACGGCGCAGATGGACGCCTGGCATGGGAGAGATGGGTGCCTGGGACGGCCGGGTGGGCGGCGTGGATGGGTGCCCAGAGCGCTGCGGCCACCGCGGGCAGGGGAAGGAGCGGGGGGGGGCAGCGCTGCAGCGCCGAGCTGGGGCAGCCGCTGCGGGGGCGTCACCCCTGTGGTGTCCCCCAATTCTGCGCCCCCCAAGAGCAGCCAGTGGCCGCCCCCCCGCGTGGAACCCCGAGTTTGGTCGCTGCCGGGGACACGCGCGCACGGACACGCGTGCACGGGGATGCTGGCGCTGTCACTCAGCCGCATCCCTCCCTCCCTCCCTCCTTCCTTCCCTCCTTCTCTCCCTCCGTCCCTCCCTCCGTCCCTCCCGCAGCAGCGGGCATGGTGTGCTGCAGAGCCGCGGGTCAGGCGCCCGCAGCCTCCGCCGCTTCTCCTCCACCCTGAGATCCCCGGGGGAATAAAAAAAAAGGGAGGAGAAAAGGTTTTTCCGCAGCTCCCGGGCACAGCGGCGTTGGAGCAGCTCCCGGGATCAAGCAGGGATCAGGCCAGGGCGTGATGGAGCTGCGGCGCGGGAGGAGGATGCCGAGGGACCAGCTCCCCGCTCGCCTCCTCCTCCTCCTGCTCCTCGCCGTGGCCTGGCTCTGGCTGCCGGCGGAGGGGCGGCGGCCTCCCCGGCCTCCCCCTTGCCCCCCGACCTGCTCCTGCACTCGGGACACGGCATTTTGCGTGGACTCCAAGGCCGTGCCCAAAAACCTGCCCCCCGAGGTCATCTCGCTGTGAGTAGCCGGGGTGGGGACAGAGATGGGGACAGCGTCACATCCCAGGAGTGCAGGGCTGGCGGGGGCTGCCGGCGGTCCTGGAGGGGCAGGGACACCCCTGCTGTGCTGCATCGGGGGAACGCGTGGCAGGGCGGGGTACGGTCAGAGCGGGGGCTCCGGGGGAAGGAGGGGGCTGGGGACAGCCCGGGGCATGTCCCTGTGTCCTGCGGTGCTGGCACACGCAGCCATCCATCAGTGCCAGACAGAGCAGGGCTGCAGCCTGTCCCCGCCGCGACCTTGGGGACCAGAACCCCGAGGGGAACGGCTGTGACCTTGGCGACCGCAGCCTCAAGGGGACACGACGGGGGGCGTCATGGTGGAGGGTCCCTGGGGACAGGGCTGTGCCCCGGAGCCTGACACGGGGATGTGTGGCAGGTGCGGTGTTTACACTGTGTGCGTGTGCTTGCACACCCGTTTGTGTGTGTTACACCTGTCTCTGTGTGCTTGCACACCCGTTTGTGTGTGTTACACCTGTCTCTGTGTGCTTACACACCTGTTCGTGTGTGTTACACCTGTCTCTGTGTGCTTACACACATGTTCATGTGTGTTACACCTGTCTCTGTGTGCTTACACACCTGTTCGTGTGTGTTACACCTGTCTCTGTGTGCTTACACACCTGTTCATGTGTGTTACACCTGTCTCTGTGTGCTTACACACAAGTTCATGTGTGTTACACCTGTCTCCGTGTGCTTACACACCTGTTTGTGTGTGTTACACCTGTCTCTGTGTGCTTACATATCTGTTTGTGTGTGTTCACACACGTGTGTGTGCTTACACACCCATTCATGTGTGTTCACACACGTGTGTGTGCACATGGCCCCGGGCCAGGGGCTGCTGCAGGGCGTGGGCAGCCTGGGGTGGGTGCCAGCCCCCTGCACCTTGTCCCCTCCGTGTCCCCACACGGGGCAGGGTGGCTGCTGGGGTCCCTCTGCCAATGCCAGCACCCGTCATGGGCTGCCCTGGCAGGCAGCAGGGGACCAGAGCCGTGCTGGGGGACACGGGGTGGCAGAGCTGTCCCCTCTCCTGCAGCTCCATCTCTCCCGCAGGACCATGGTGAACGCGGCCTTCACGGAGATCCGGGAGGCGGCTTTCGCCCACATCCCCTCCCTGCAGTTCCTGTAGGTCTCCTGTGCCCCCCGCCGGCAATCCCGGTGCCCCCGTGGTGCCCACCCTGCCCAGCCCGGCGCTGACCCCTCCCCTCTCTCCTTGCAGCCTCCTCAACTCCAACAAGTTCACGCTGATCGGGGACAACGCCTTCGCCGGGCTCTCGCACCTGCAGTACCTGTGTGTGACACGGGGACAGGGAGGGCACAGGGAGGGCACACGGGGACCCTCGGGATGGCCCCGTCACTGTCTGCTCCCGTTCCAGGTTCATTGAGAACAACGACATCCAGGCGCTTTCCAAAGCCACTTTCCGCGGGCTCAAGTCCCTGACACACCTGTGAGCACCGGGGGGACACTGTGGGGGTGGCCCTGTCCCTTCAGGGATGTGTCACCTCCACAGACCTTCTTGTCCCCAGGTCCTTGGCCAACAACAACCTGCAGACGCTGCCACGAGACCTCTTCAAGCCGCTGGACATCCTGAGTGACCTGTGAGGCTGCCACAGCGCTGGGGACACCGGGCTGGGGAGAGGGTGACATCCCAGGGGCTGGCACTTGGGCAGGGTGCTGTGTGCTGGGGGTGACTCTGTGCCATCCCTGGTAGGGACCCTTGGGACACTGAGCTGGGGAGAGGTGACATCCCGGTGGGTGCTGGGGATCACTTGGTGCCATCCCTGGCAGGGACCCCCAGCACACTCAGCTGGGGAGAGGTGACATCCCAGTGGGTGCTGGGGGTGACTCGGTGCCACCCCTGGCAGGGACCTCCGTGGCAACACGCTGGCCTGTGACTGCAAGATCAAGTGGCTGGTGGAGTGGCTGGAGAGCACCAACACCACGGTCCCCGCCGTCTTCTGCAGCAGCCCCGGGCAGTTCGAGGGACAGCGGATCCGGGACCTGGCGCTCGGTGACTTCCAGTGCATCACCACGGGTAAGGCACCGCTGTCACCTGTCACCTGTCACACATCACCTCGCTCCTGGGCTTTCAGACCTTCACTGCCACCCCTCCCTGCTCCAGATTTCGTGATGCACCAGGTGCTGCCCTTCCAGGCGGTGTCGGCCGAGCCCTTCACCTACGCCAGTGACCTGTACGTGGCCCTGGCACAGCCCAGCGCCAGCAGCTGCTCCATCCTCAAGTGGGACTACGTGGAGCGCAAACTCCGCGACTTCGACCGCATCCCCGGTGAGAAACAGGGCCGGGGGTCCCCTCCTGGGCTGGGACCCTGTTTGGGGTGCCCTGGGACAGGCCTGGCCCTGGTGTGACGTGGTTCTGTTGCCAGCTCACTCGGCGGTGCACTGCAAGCCCATCGTGGCGCAGGAGCAGCTCTACGTGGTGGTGGCGCAGCTCTTTGGTGGCTCCTACATCTACCGCTGGGACACGGCCGTGGACAAGTTCATCAAGATCCAGGACATCGACAGCCAGAAGATCCGCAAGCCCAACGACATCGAGGCCTTCCAGATCGAGGGCGACTGGTACTTCGTCATCGCCGACAGCTCCAAGGCGGGCTCCACCAGCCTCTACCGCCTCAACCAGAACGGCTTCTACTCCCACCAAGCCCTCCACGCCTGGCACCGCGACACCGACGTGGAATACGTGGAGAACGACGGCAAACCCCGGCTGATCATCTCCAGCAGCTCCCAGGCCCCCGTCATCTACCAGTGGAGCCGGGCGCAGAAGCAATTCGTGCCGCAGGGCGAGGTGGGCGAGATGCTGGACGTGCAGATGGTCAAGCACTTCAGGGCCAAGCGGGAGCAGTTCCTCTGCCTCAGCCGCTACATCGGCGACTCCAAGGTGGTGCGCTGGGAGGGGCAGCGCTTCGTGGAGGTGCAGACGCTGCCGTCCCGCGGCTCCATGGTGATGCAGCCCTTCGCCGTGGGCCAGCGGCAGTACCTGGCGCTGGGCAGCGACTTCTCCTTCACCCACGTGTACCTGTGGGAAGAGGAGAAGCAGAAGTTCGCCAAGTTCCAGGAGCTGTCGGTGCAGGCGCCGCGGGCGTTCCGGGCGGTGCCGGCGGCCGACGTGCAGCTGCTGCTGGCGCCCAGCTTCAAGGCCAACACGCTGGTGTACCGGCACGTGGTGGTGGACCTCAGCCTGTAGCTGGCACCCGGAGAGCCACCGGACATGCATGTGCCCGCCACCCCTTGCCCCACCCCCTGTGCCAGCCCTCCACCTTCACCCAGCCCCACGGTGCCTCAGTTTCCCCACGGTGCTCCCGGTTTCACCCTGTGGGATGCGGGGAGGGAGGGTGGGATGCTCCTTGCGCTGCAGAGTGGCACCCCTGGGGGGGGTGGAGAGGGTTTGGGGGGGGTCTTTGCTCAGGCCATGGGCTGGGAGCTGGTGGCAGGAAAGGAGGGGTGACAGTGGGTAGGGGTGTGGCAGAAGGGGTGGGGGGTTCCCAGGATGCTGAGGGACTTTGGGAGGCTCCAAAGTGGATGGGATGGCCAAGGTGGATGTCGTGGGATGGCCCGAGGAGCATGGGGTGCTCCGAGGTGGATGCAGATGGGATGCTGAGGATGATGATGGGGTGCTCCAGGATGCTCTGAGGATGCAGATGCGATGCTGAGGATGATGATGGGTTGCTCCAGGATGCTCTGAGGATGCAGATGCGATGCTGAGGATGATGATGGGTTGCTCCAGGATGCTCTGAGGATGCAGATGGGATGCTGAGGATGATGATGGGGTGCTCCAAGGCCAGCAGGATGCCCCGAGGATGATGAGGGGACGCTCCAGGATGCCCCGAGGTGGATGCAGCAGTGGACAGTGGAATGCTCCAGGCCAGCAGCTCCTGTCCCTCTCCGTGCATGCCCAGCAGCTCCCCGTGCCCACGGCCCTGCTGCCAGGCAGGACCCAGCGTGCCAGCGGGGCGTCCGTGCCCACCGACCCCCCAATAAACACACTGTGCCCCCCAGCCCTGCCCGTGTGTCCTTCCAGCCACGGGGTGCCCTCTCCACCCGACGTTCCACTGCCCCAGGGAGAGGAAATTCCTCATTTTTGGGTGCACGTGGGGTTTCTTCCAGAAGAAACCTCGGCCCACCTCAGTGCCTGATATTCTGTTCCCCCAGGGAGAGGAAATTCCTCATTTTTGGGTGCTCCAGACCCCAAATGTGGGGTTTTTTCCAGCAGAAACCTCAGCCCACCTTGGTGACTCCTCCACCCAACATTCTTCTGCCCCAGGGAGAGGGAATTCCTCATTTTAGGGCGCACATGGGGTTTTTTCCAGCAGAAACCTTGACCCACCTCGGTGCCTGCTCCATCTGACATTCCCCCAGAGAGAGGGAATTCCTCATTTTTGGGTGCTCCTGACCCCAAATGTGGGGTTTTTTCCAACAGAAACCTTGGCCCACCTCGGTGCCTGACATTCTGCTGCCCCGGGGAGAGGGAATTCCTCATTCGGGTCACGGGGATCCCCCATTGCCGCTGTTCCATTAATGGCGGTCCCCGTGCTCGGCCCCGGGGGCTCCTCTGAGAGACCCCCGGCGGGGTTTGGGGGTGCGACCCCAAATTTCCGTATGGGGGTAACCATCACCCCCCCTCCCCAAAATGCCCCCCCCCGGAAGGGGTCCCTGAGCTGCTGCTGCCCCACACGTGGTGTTTTTTCCAGCAGAAACCTCGTCCCACAGCAGGAGGTGTTTCCCCAGGGAGGGGAGTCCCCGCTGGACTGGTTTTCCAGGGGAGCCTTTCCCTGGCTCCAGGTGGATAAATCTGCATGTGAAAAAGCACCAATTAAGCGCACAAATAAAGATCCTCTGGCGGGGAACAGGCAGCCCCGGGGCACGGATGCGTTTGGGGAGCAAACAGGGCATTGCCACGTGTCCCTGCCTCAGTTTCCCTGGCAGGAAAAAGCAGATTTGAAAGCACTGAAGGAAGGTTCTGGCACTTCCACGGTGGGATGGGGAATTTGGGGAACCCCGGGTCACTCTTGGGGCTGCAGGGCCAAGGGGGAGGTGGCCCAGAGAGGCGACTCAAGCAGCTTTTATTTTTTTGGGAGCTCCACTCTTACAGCGGAGTGATCCTCATCGTCCTTCAGAGCACCAAAAGAGCATCACGCCCCCTCCAGACCCCAAAAAAATCCTTTAACATCAATTGGAGAGGCTCTCCCCTTTTTCCCTACAGTTTATTGATTTAAAAATTGTGTGGTTTAATATTTAAAAATATATATATTAGGGAATTAAATTTTATGTATTAAGGAGCATTTAATATAGATTATATATTAAAATATTGCAATTAATGTAGTGATATTTGATATATATGGGGAATTTAAAACACGGCATTTTTAGGTATGTTTAGGATATTTATTGAAATGTAATATATATTTTTCCTATATATAATTAATATATAGTGATATAATATATCTATATATTGATATATCATATATTATACATAGTCAATATATATTATATATTGATATTAGATATTATGTACTATATATTATACATAAATATTATAATATTACTATATCAATATGGAATATATAACATATAATAACATATAATATATAATATACACTATATAATATGCAACATATTTATTATATGTTATAGATTAGATATTTGATATTAGATATTATAAAAATATATTAGATATTATATAAATATATTGATATCTAATATATTTGGGGAATTTATAAAATGTTTTTACTTTATAAAGCTCCACGCTCCACACGTGAGTCACACGTTTAGGGGGCCCTATTGCCCTTTTAAGAGGTTCTGTTGCCCTTTTAAGGGCATTGCCCTTTTAAGAAGCTCCGTTGCCCTTTTAAGACCATTGCCCTTTTAAGAGCCGTCGGTGGGGCCCGGACAACGCATGCGCGGCTCGGTTGCTGCAACTTTCAACTTTTGGGATTCGCTCCCTCGGGGTTCGGGGGGAATTTGAGGGGGTTCGGGGGGATTTGGGAGCTCCAGGGGGGCGCAGCCCCGCCCCTCCCGGCAGCGCCATGGTGTCCTGGATCCTCAGCCGGGTGATTGAGTGAGTGGGTCCGGGCGGTGTAACGGGGGTGGGCGGGTCACGGGGATCCCCCATTGCCGCTGTTCCATTAATGGCGGTCCCCGTGCTCGGCCCCGGGGGCTCCTCTGAGAGACCCCCGGCGGGGTTTGGGGGTGCGACCCCAAATTTCCGGATGGGGGTAACCATCACCCCCCCTCCCCAAAATGCCCCCCCCGGAAGGGGTCCCTGAGCTGCTGCTGCCCCCTCAGCCCGCCCTGGGCGCGGCCTGCGGTGCCGGGGGTCCGTGCCCCACCCGCGGGTCCCAGGGCAGGCACACCGGCTGGCTGGCGGGGGCCGCTGCCCTCCCTCAGCGGGGAGCGAGCCCCAGCCCTGCCCCGCCCGGACAGGTCGGGCCGGTCCCGGGCCGCGGCAGCGACATGGCCGAGCCTCCCCGGAGCGTCCCGGGCCGCTCTGCGGGCGCCCGCGGGCCGGAGGGGCTCCAGGCCGGGCTGCGGCGCTGGGCCCGGCGGCTCTGCTGCTCCGGGCTGCTGCTGCTCTGGGCGGGCTGGCCGCGCTGCCTCACCCCCTCCCTGCCTTACAGGCTGCTCTTCGGGATGCTCTACCCGGCCTACGCCTCCTACAAGGCTGTGAAGACGAAAAACATCCGGGAATACGTGAGTCAAGGGCCTGGGGAGCCCTTTGCCTTGGGGCTTCTGTCCCCCTTTCTGCAGCTCCAGTCCTCCCATTTTCCTTGGGGCTCCAGTCCCCTCTTTTCCTGGTCCCCCTTTCTGGGATTCAGCCCCCTTTTCCCAGTCCCCTTTTTCCCAGTCCCCCTTTTCCTATTCTCCAGCCCCCCTTTCCAATTTCAGTCCCCCTTTTTCCAGTCTTCAGCCCCCCTTTCCAATTTCAGTCCCCCCTTTTCCAGTCCCCAGCCCCCCTTTTCCCAGCCCCAGCCCCCTCTGATGTGCTCCCCGTGGCCCCCCAGGTCCGGTGGATGATGTACTGGATCGTCTTCGCTCTCTTCATGGCCACAGAGACCTTCACCGACCTCCTCATCTCCTGGTGAGCCTGGGGAGGGGCTGGCTGTCCCCAGACCCCCCAGATGTGTGTGGGGGGACCATGAGGTGCCTTTAGACCCCCCATCTCCTGCCCCTCTCACCCAGGCTCCCCTTCTACTACGAGGTGAAGATGGCTTTTGTCATCTGGCTGCTGTCGCCGTACACGCGGGGGGCCAGCCTGCTCTACCGCCGCTTCGTGCACCCCACGCTGGCCCGCAGGGAGAAGGTACACACTGCTGGGGTTTGGGGGTCCCCCTGCCCTGCCTGGGGGGGTCAGCCCCCCCTCGAGTTGGGGTGGTGATACCCCGGGGATGTGGCATTGCCCCACGGCGTGGGAGGTGATAATGCTCAGGGAGTGGGGATGAACTGGGGGGTGACAGTGCTCAGGGAATGCCCCAGGATATGGCATTGCCCTGGGGGGTGACAGTGCTCAGGGACATGGGAATGCACTGGGAGGGTGACAGTTCCCTTGGAGTGACAATACCCTGGGAGGTGACAATACCCAGGGACATGGTGGTGCACTGGGAGGTGACAATGCTCAGGGAATGACCTAGAACCTGGCATTGTCCTGGGGATGACAATGCCCTGGGGGGTGACAGTGCTCAGGGACATGGCATTGCCCTGGGAGGTGACAGTGCCCTGGGACATGGGGATGTACTGGCGGGGTGACAATGCCCTGGCAGGTGACAGAGCTCAGGGACATGGGGATGTACTGGGGGGTGACAGTTCCCTTGGAGTGACAATACCCTGGAAGGTGACAATGCTTATGGAATGCTCCAGGACGTGGCATTGCCCTTCGAGGTGACAATACCCAGGGACATGGCGATGCCCTGGGGGGTGACAGTGCTCAGGGAATGCCCCAGAACATGGCATTGTCCTGGGGATGACAATGCTCAGGGACATGGCATTGTCCTGGGAGGTGACAGTGCCCTGGAACATGGGGATGCACTGGGAGGTGACAATACCCTTGGAGGTGACAATGCTCAGGGACATGGCATTGCCCTGGGAGGTGACAGTGCCCTGGAACATGGGGATGCGCTGGGGGAGTGACAATACCCTGGGAGGCGACAATACCCAGGGACATGGCATTGCCCTGGGGGTGACATTGCCCAAGGAGGTGGCCATGCCCCTGGAGGTGACAATGCCCCAGGCCACCACCCTGCAGTGCCAGCACCTCCCTGTCTGTCTCTCAGGACATCGACGCGTTCCTGGTGCGGGCCCGCGAGCGCGGCTACGAGACCGCCCTGCGCTTCGGCAAGAGGGGCCTCAACCTGGCGGCCACCGCCGCCATGCAGGCGGCCACCAAGGTACCCGGGAGGAAACCCCACCCAGCAGGGTGACAGGAGAGGGTGACGTCCCCTGGTCAGGGTCTGATCTGCCCGCTCTGTGTCCCCGATGCAGAGCCAGGGCGCGCTGGCCGGGCGGCTCCGCAGCTTCAGCATGCAGGACCTGCGCTCCCTGCCCGAGCAGGCCCCCGTGCACTTCCAGGACCCGCTGTACCTGGAGGAGCAGGAGAGCCTCCAGCAGCCCCTGGGTGAGCAGCTGGGGGGGTCACAGAGAGGGGGGGCCCAGCAAAGCCCACGGTGGCCGTGCTGGAGCTGGCGTGTCCCCTGTCCCCAGCCTACGGCGCCGGCCTCCGCTACGAGAGCGAGTCGGACGATGAGGAGCTGTGGTCGGACTCGCAGGTGTCCCCCTCGGTGTCCCCACGCCGGGATCCCAGACCTCTGTCCCGCAGCCAGAGCCTGAGAACCCTGAGGAAGAACCCAGGAAAAGAGGTGACGTGGGAGGAGGACACACGGTGTGGGGTGGGGGTGTGTCAGGGGGTGCTGACTGTCCTTGTCCCTGTCCCTTTCCCTGCCCAGGGCTCTTCGCGGCTCCTGCGCAGCCGGGCCAGGAGGAGAGCGGCTGTGTCAGAGCAGGACAGCTGAAAATGCCAGGAAACCTCTGCCAGGAGGCTGGAGAGGAATTTGCTGCTGCGGCGTCAGGAGGCAGCTGTGGCTCCTTGCGTCCCCTGGGGTGGCTCCTTGTGTCCCCAGGATGGCTCCTTGCGTCCCCTGGGGAGGCTCCTGCACCCCCAGGGATCCTCGCACTGTAAATCCCTTCCATGTGGCCCCTCGAGGAGGGGGGAGCAGCTCATCCCCCCACTCCCAGACCCCCCAGCTCGGTGCTGGCGCCTCTCCTGTGGGGTCTGGCCCCTTCTTTTCCCCCATGCCATGAACACTACAGGCTCCCCGCTCTCCTGCTGCCATGGTGCCTTATTCACAACATTCCCGTTCCCCTGGAAGCCAGGAGTGGATGTGCCTTGTCCCTCTGAAGCCAAAGCCATGGCCCCTGCCTGGGGCCCCCCCCAGACACAGACTGACACCTCCATACTTGAGCCCAGAGCACTGGGCAGCACAAGGCTTTTAACATTCCCCTCTCCCAAAAAGAGGGTTTTGTACCTGGAAAAATAAATGTTTGTTGCAGACTTTGGGAAGCAGGAGTTGTCCCTGGTGCTGTCCCCTTCCACAGGAAGCATCCTGAGGTCGGTTTTTCTCTTGGAGGAAGCTCTGGAATCCATCTGAGACTCCTCCAGGGCCTCTCCCAGAATGTTTCCACCCATGTTCCAGGATCCCAGGTACAGTCCCAGAGCCTTTCCCCCATATTTCAGGTTCCAGAATCCCTGATACCATCCCCAGACTCCTCCAGGAAAGCTTCCTGAGATTTTTTCCTTTGGAGGAAGCTGTACCTCCAGGGATCCATCCAAGCCTCCCTCCAGGCATCTCCAAGAACCTTTCCCCCACATTTCCGGTTCCAGAATCCCACATAGCATCCCCCAACTCCTCCAGGGAAGCTTCCCGAGACCATTTTCTCATTTGGAAGGAACTCCGTCCTTGAAACTCCCACCCCATGCTCCTCCCAGGGTCTTTTGCCACCCTCTTTATGTCCCCGAGGCCGCGATGACATTCCCAAACTTCCCGGAGAGCCGGGATCCCTGCAGTAGCCCCGTCCCCCACGGCGTGGCAGCAGCAGCCGGGACACCCGGGACACATCCCTGCATCGTCCCCTCTCCCTGCCCCATCCCTCCGGCAATCCCGGCTCCTTCCCGGGGGGCTCATCCCCCACCGCGGTGGGCAGCACGGCACGGAGGTGGCACAAGGTGACTCTGTGGCCTCCCCTGGCCCCGGCTGCCCGCCTGTCCCGCGGTGCCCCTGCTCCCTGGCATCAATCCCCTCGCTCCCAATCCTGCCTGCCCTCGCCCCTGGGGCCAGCTGTATTTTTAGCCCTTGGCTGCTGCCCGATTTCGGGGGTCTCCCCAGGGCAGCGGGAGGGTCCGGGCCGGGCTCTGCGGGGCAGGCAGGGGTGTTGGAGCAGATTAGGTGGAGGTGGCTGGATTAGCCCCGTAAAACTGCCTGCGAGACGATTACTTAAAGCAGCCGAGAAGGAAGGCTGGGTGGGGACAGCGAGGGCCAGGGGGCTGCCTGTAATCCCCTAAAGCCGCTTAGGGAGCACGGTTCCTCCAAGGATACGGCCCAGGGAAGCTGCTGGGGCCACCTGGGGGTCAAAGGGGGGTTCTTGCGTGTTGGGGTGCTCCCAGGTGGGCTCACAGCAGCGTTGGAGCCTCAGTGTTGCATCCCTGGGGTGCGGGGTCACGGATTCCCAGCTTGGGGAAACTGAGGCACGACACCGGCGCCTTCCCAGGGGGCCAAAGCGGGGTCCTGGGAATGAACAAGGAGTTTTGGTGTCCTGCTTCGGGAAACCCGTGTGTCCCCCGGGGGCTGAAACCCAAGGAGGGGACAGGAGCCGGGCGGGGTGGCGCAGCCCGTCCCCCCGGGGCCGAGGCAGCTGCGGCGGTGCCAGCGCTGATGGCAGCTGTGTCAGCGCACGGGCCGGTGCCAGGCTGCATCAGCAGAGCCCTAATCCCCCCCGGCTCGCCTGGCACCGCCCCAGCACAGCAGTTTAAGCGCCTGACCTGAGCTCGCCCGCTGCCATCGTCCCCTCCGGGGAGGGGCTGCCAGGCTGAGCCGCGGCTGGCAGCGCTGTGGGGACCCCCTGTGCCACCCCAAACCCCCGGGCAGGGTTTGGGGGGCTGCAGTGGGGGGACAGCGGGGCTGGGGGGGGGTAGGAGGTGACACGATCGAGGGGGCTCAGGGGCTGCATTCCCAGCGAGCGCAGGGAGGGGATTGTCCCCTCTGCTCTGCTCAGGTGAGACCCCACCTGCAGCTCGGGGGTCCCCAGTGTCAGAGGGACATGGAGCTGCTGGAGCCAGTCCAGAGGAGGCCACGGAGCTGCTCCAGAACTGGAGCCTCTCTGGAGCCAGGCTGGGAGAGCTGGGGGTGCTCACCTGGGGAAGGGAAGGCTCCAGGGGGAGCTCAGAGCCCTTCCAGGGCCTGAAGGGGCTCCAGGAGCGCTGGGGAGGGGCTGGGGACAAGGCAGGGAGGGACAGGACCCGGGGAATGGCTCCCTGCCTGCATCCCTGGGAGCTGGCAGGGGAGCCGGTGACGCAGGGCTGCTCTGTGCCAGCTGACAGGGACACTGCTGACGCTGTGCTGCCAGCCCCGGGCCCTGGTGCCCCCACTGCCCGTTCCTGCAGGGCCGGGGGTGCCAGGACTGAGCACTGCGGGGGTGTCACCCACCCCGTCTCTCCCCGGGCACTGCAGGGTCAGGGAAATTTGGGTCATCAATCCTGAATGGGATTTACCTCCCCGAGGAGCTGCTGGCTGCTTGGGGTGCGGCCCCCAGAGCCCCCTGCACCCCCCAGCCTCCTCCTCACCCTCCCCACCCCCGGGAGCAGCCTGAGCCCCTCCAACCCCACCCTGGTGACACCGAGTGACATCCACACTCCTGCAGCCCCCCTCCTTCCCTGCCCCATCCCAGCTCACCTCACCCCGCTGCCTCTGCGGTGGGATGCTCCTGCCATCCCCGGGCTGCCCTCCTCCCCCCAGCCCGGCAGTTTGGGGGTCCCAGGTGAGGGTGTGACCCCCCGGTCCCCACGGGGCTCCCCCCACGGCTGTCCCCTGTCGGTGGCCGCTGCCTGAGTCAGCTGTTGGGGCCGGAGCCATGTGAGGCCGAGCACACATGGCTCCCCGCGCGGCACCGCGCTGTATTTTTAGCAGACGGTATCAAAAGCATAATTATGTCTGTTGTTTAAACGCAGCCTCTTTTCTGGCAGCCCCGGGAGCTCTCAGCTGCCTCCTGCCGCAGAGGGCAGCGAGGGCGGGCTGAGGAGCCGCGGGCGGGGGGGATGAGACCCCCCTCCCTCCCTGCCTCCCTCCCCAGCGCTGCCGCGCAGGTAAAACCTCCCCTCCTCATTCTGGGGGGGCTCCCGCTGCGCCCCCACACCGCGTCTGAGGCGCGCACATGCCCCCAGGCTGCCGGTGAGCCGCTGGTGAGGATGAGGAGGAGGAGGAGGATGGCGAGGAAGAGGATGACGGGTGGGAAGCGCGGCGGTGGCGGGAGGGGTCGGGAAAAGGGCGTTCGAGGTGACGGGAGTGTGGGAGGACACAGCTGAAGGAGCGCTGCTGCATCCCCCCCTCCTCCCCGCAGCCGCCTGTCCCCCCGGGGACCCGTCTGTCCCCAGCCAGCCCGCGCTGGCACCGAGCACGGTTCCGGCTCCGTGTCCCTGCCGTGACACCACGCTGGGCGCTGGGCTGAGGATTTTTTGGGGACCGCAATCCCCAGGCTGGTGGGGAGCCGGGCATCACCTCCAGGGCGAGCTGGGCACCGCGCTCTGGGGACAACACAGCATCTCCGGCCACCAGGGGAAACTGAGGCAGAGCATTTCCAGCCGCCAAGGGAAACTGAGGCAGCGAGCAGAGGCTGCCCACCGCTCCTGTCCCGTGTCACCGCATCACCTGGCCGTCACCACGGCAGCCCGGCAGCGCGCTGGGGACGCCGGAGGGGCCCGGGCTGAGGGCAGGAGCCGCCGGGCGCTGCCAGGTAGGTGCTGCCAGGGGCGCGGGCAGCTGGCACCCGCCGGTGCGGCACGCAGGTGGCAGCGGGCTGCCCGTGTCCCTGGCTGCCGTCCTAAGCCCTTGGCCCCGGGGTGAGCTTTTAATTACATCAAGGTATTTGAAGCCGGTTCCTGGCGCTGGGTAAACAGGAGTCCCGGGCACGTGGAGGGGGGGCCGGGGGTGGCACAGCACGGGCACCGTGCCCCCGCAGCGGGGCTTGCCGGGACGGCTGGTCCTCGCCCGGGGAGGGAAGGAGGGATGCGGGGACGGCAGCATCCGGCAGCATCCATCACCTGCGGGTCCTCCGGCGTCCCCCCCGGCATTCCCGGGCTGCGCGCGGGGCTGGCACGGCGACATGGGGGACACCGGCACAGGTGAGTTGGCTGCGACATCCCGCCGTGCTCTCTGACGCGGACCAGCCGCTCCTTCTCCTCGCTCCTTCTCCTTGCTCCGTCCATCCCAAGCTTTGCCTTGAGGGCGTGCGGCACCCGGGAGGGGGCGAGCCGAGCCGAGCCGGGCCGGGCCGGGCCGGGCGCGTTGGGGGTGTCGGGAGCGGCCCCAGCCCGGGGGGAGCGGCTCGCCTGTCCCCGGCGGCGAAGCGAGCGGGATTAGCGGTGCTTACTCACCTCCCTGGGGAAATGCGGGAGATTAGGGCCGGGAGAAGTGTCCGACCCTGCGGCGGCGGGGCCGGACGGGGCCGTGAGGCTCTCCGGAACCGGCACCGGCACCGGGGAGGTCGCCCAGGCCCCGCCGCACCGGCAGCCAGGGCTGGAGGGGAGCGCAGGCTGCCAGAGCAGTTGGGCTGTGGCCCTAATTCCCAGAAAGCTGCTCGTGTGGGAGTGAGTGTCCTCCCGTGCCCTCCGCTCCGCCGCAGCCTCCAGACTCCTGAAGGTTTGACGTGTTTTTTTTTTTTCCCTTTTTTTTTTTTTTTTTTTTTTTTTTTTTTAATTTAAGCGCCTGGTGCAGAATAACAAAAGCTCTCGCGGCCACCGCGCCCGGTGCTGGGCACAGGGGGGGATCGGGGCTCCTTCCTCTGCTTCCCTCAGCTTCCTCACCTGCGCCGCGGTGGAGGCAGGTAGGTGCGTGCTGGGCTCCGTGCCGGGGCTGGGAGGAGGAGGAGGAAGAGGAAGGGCTGGGGTTCTGTGTGTGCACTCCGGGCAAGCCGGAACGGTGATCCATTTTGAACGAGGAAAAAGCTGGGTTTTGGGTTTTTTCCCCGGCAGAAGTGGTTTGTGGGTCTGGGGGTGCAGAGCGCGCTGCTGGCGGGGCTGGGGGTGCCCTGGTCCAGGCGGGGGCTGTGGGCACCGGGATGGGGCTGGCACGATCCTGCTGGGACATCGAGAGAGGGGTTCTGGGGGAGCAGGACCCTCATCCATCACTCCCCGGGTGCTGGATCATTCTGGGGATCCCCTGTCCCACACGTGTCCCTCATGGGGACACCGTGGGGACAGTGCCCCTCTGCCTCACCTCCCCACAGCATCCTCCCCATGATCCTAGGGGACGCCGTGGGGACAGTGTCCCTCTGCCCCACGTCCCCACGGTGTCCCCCATGATTCCAGGGGACACGGTGGGGACAGTGTTCCTCCTCCCCACGTCCCCCATGATCCCAGGGGACACCATGGGGGACAGTGTCCCTCCAACTCACGTCCCCACAATACCCCCCACGATCCCAGGAGACGCAGTGGGGACAGTGTCCTTCTCCCCCCATCCCCACAGTGTCCCCCATGATCCCCAAGGACACCGTGGGGACAGTGTCCCTCCACGCCACGTCCCCACAGCGTGCCCCCCATGCTGGAGCGGGGCAGGGATGCCGAGGTCTCTAATTCGGGAGTTCCCGGCCTCCTGCGGTGGCGCTCTGGCCAGCGCTCGGCTCCTGGGTGTTGCCGTCCCTCTGCTCGCCCTCTGATTTGGGGGAAAACCAAGGATTTTGGAGCTCTGTGCCAAGCCACCAGGACAGAACCCCCTCGGGGGTTATTCCCAGTTGGCAGAGCTCAAACCCAGCCTGGACCCCCCCGGTTCACCCTGGGGACCCTCTGGGGGTCGTGCTGGGACAGGCAGGGAGTGAAGGGACCTGGGCAGGGGCTGGGGGTGTGGGAGCAGGCACGGATCTGCTCCTGGGGCTGGGGAGGAGTGGCTGAGCCCCGCAGAGCGCCCCACAGCGTGGCTGCCCCGTGGGGGCTGCACTGGCCCTGGCAAGGCTCCACCAGGCTCCCTGGCACTCCGAGGGCAGCGTGGCGTGGGGAGGGGACAGTGCCCAGGGATGCTGCCCCGGTGCATGGTGGGAAATTCCCTGCTGTCCCTCCATCATCCCCCTGCTCCCCGCTCGTTGCCCCAGCAATGGCTGCCACCGACCCACCCTCCCTGGTGTTTCCAGCGTGGTGCGTCCATCCCCCTCCCCACTTATCCCCTCCCTCGCTACATTCCCGACATCCCCGGGCACCCCCAGAGCCCCCCGGCACGCCGGGACGCTGCAGACCCTTCCCCGGGGTCCCTCCCGGCTGCCAGCCCCGTCCCAGCCCTTCCGGATCCATCATTCCTGAGGAAGGGAGGGAGGGAACGGGAAGAGTTTGTCTTTCAGCACCTTCTCATCGCAGGCAGGCGCGGGCTCTCCCTCGCCCCGAGCCCTGTCTGGGTCCCCTCCCTGTTCCCTGGCACCCACTGGGCGCAGCCAGCAGAGCCCCAAACCCCCCAGACCTCCTGGGCGAGCAGGGCTGGGGGTGCCGCTATGGGATGGCACCGCCTGGCACAGCCGAGTGACCCCGGTGGCCCGAGCCGTGCCCAGCAAGGGTTAATCCCCGCTGTCAGCTCCCAGCGGGACCGGACCGCGAGGAGCTGCTGGGCTGAAGCTGCCCGTGGGCGCTGCCGGGCTCCCGCGGGCCCTGGCCTGCCCTCAGCCCTTCTCCCGTGCCCCCAGCCCGCCTGCCCCCGCTGCCGAGCCGTGCCGGGCCAGCGGTGCCCAGGGATGGGTTTATGTAAGGCGGGCACGGCCCGGGGACACACGCGGGTTACATAAACCCGCACAGCACTGCTGGCATCAGTGCCAGCTCCCCGCGAGCCCAGGAACGGGGGTTCCACCTGGGAGACCCCCCCGGGTCTGCTCCTCACTCCCCACTGGGGGTGCTGCTGGGTTTGGGGTCGGGGTGTCCTCGTGCTGGGGGTCCTGGGGCTTAGGGACAGTGTGGGGGGCACCCACAAGGTCCCAGCTTTTACTTCGTGGGCTGCAGGGCATGGCTGGGATGGGTGTGACCCTGGTGGGCACAGCTGGGTGGGATCTGTGTGACCCTGGTGGACACAGCTGGGATGAGTGTGAGCCTGGTGGGCTGCAGGGCATGGCTGGGGTCTTTGTGATCCTGGTGGACACAGCTGGCATGGGTGTAATCCTAGTGGGTATTGGTGGGATCTGTGTGATCCTGGTGACCACAGCTGGGATCTGTATGACCCTGGTGACCACAGCTGGGATCTGTATGACCCTGGTGGGCATGGCTGGGATTTGTGTGCCCCTGCTGGGCTGCAGGGCAGGGACGAGAGGCCCCAGGCACTCCCTCCTCATGCCTGGTGAGGGTGGCACCACCAGGATGGTGTCACAGCACTCCTGTGCTCCCCAAGGCCCTCTGAGCCCCTCGGAGCACACCTTGCTCTCCCCAGCCGCCTGCTGTGGGGTCTGCAGGGCAGGAGGAGCTCTGCCCACACCCAGGCAGCTGCAGGAGGGATGGACACGGCTCTGGAGCACACTCGGGGCCAGATCTGTAACCTTTGGCCAAAACCGAGGGGGTTTGGGGTCCTGGGGACTCCCGTCCAGTAGGATGGCCACCTGCTCCGTGCTGGCCCTGTCCCCAGCACCGGGACAGGGACTCGTGGCCCATCCCGGTGTTTGTCCCGTTCCAGTTGACCCTGGTGACCACAGCTGGGATCTGTATGACCCTGGTGGGCATGGCTGGGATTTGTGTGCCCCTGCTGGGCTGCAGGGCAGGGACGAGAGGCCCCAGGCACTCCCTCCTCATGCCTGGTGAGGGTGGCACCACCAGGATGGTGTCACAGCACTCCTGTGCTCCCCAAGGCCCTCTGAGCCCCTCGGAGCACACCTTGCTCTCCCCAGCCGCCTGCTGTGGGGTCTGCAGGGCAGGAGGAGCTCTGCCCACACCCAGGCAGCTGCAGGAGGGATGGACACGGCTCTGGAGCACACTCGGGGCCAGATCTGTAACCTTTGGCCAAAACCGAGGGGGTTTGGGGTCCTGGGGACTCCCATCCCGTAGGATGGCCACCTGCTCCGTGCTGGCCCTGTCCCCAGCACCGGGACAGGGACTCGTGGCCCATCCCGGTGTTTGTCCCGTTCCAGTTTCGCCCGGAGCGGGCGGCTGGAGCCTTTCATTGGTGACGGAGCGGCCTTGGCGAACAAAGGGCGCTTTCTTCACCCGCACGGGGCAGAGCACACCTGCCCGCCTTGGCACCGCCGCCGGTGCCCCCGGGGCTGGGCGGCACCGCCGGCACCGCGCCGATTCCCGGTTCCCGGGCGTCAGCAGCCCCAGCATCCCTCCCGCCCGCCCAGTCGCTGCCGGAGCCGGCGGAGGCTGCACGCTGGTGGGGAGCAGAGCCGCTGCCACCTCCTTGTCTCAGGATGCTCAGGGCTGCCTAGAGCAGGGGGAAGGTCCCGCTGTGCTGCCGCTGCTCCCTGGGTACCCCTGCCCCTCCGGGACCCCCAGCTCGTAGGACGATAGGCAGGAGGAGCACGGAGACTCCCAAGCCAATGGATCAAAAACTCCAGCTCCAGCACGAGGAGAAGAACATCCCCAGGGCCGCCCGGGCGGCTTTCTGCCTCCTCCAGATCCCGGAGCCGGACCCCTTCAGCCTGTGGGTTTAGGTGCCCCTGCCCGCCCGGCCTCGCCTCTCCGGGAGCCGGTGTCACCGGCGGACACCCCGCTCGTCCTCGGCGCTGGGGTCCTTGATGGACCCTCCAGGTAGCTGGGGGGCGGTGGGGATGCTCGCCGAGCAGCGGGAGCAGATTCCTGTGCTCCGGCTGGGATGAGGGACGGGGGACAGCGTCACCCTGGGGCAATGTCACCCTCGGGGTGACCGCGGGGATGGCGGTGGTGGCGCAGCTTCGGGGCACTGGGGAGCTGTGCTGGGAGAGCTTCCTGAGATGGGGCTGGGCGGGACAGCCTGGCCTTGGATGGATGGGGTGGCTGTCCCCAGGGTGTCCCTGTGCCCCAGGATGCCCCGGCTCGGAGAGGGTGTCCCGGGATGCTTCCCGAGCACCGGGAACGGGGACTTTGCCGGCTCCGGGAGGAGGATGTGACAGGAACAAGCGGCTTTGGGGACACACGCTCCTGTCCTCACGCTGCTCCTGTCCCCATGCCGGCCCTCGGGGCGGCTCTGTCCCACCGCGCAGCAGGGCCGGGAGCTGGCTGAGCTCGGCTCTGTCCCCCTCGGCCGCTCCAGCAGCCGGACGCAGCCGGCTGGGGGACACGGGGACGGGATGCGACCGCCTTCCCTGCGAGGTCTGGCTCCGCACCCGCGTCTGCGTGTGGCCCGGGTCCCGGAGGAGGGTTAATCCTGCAAATCCCCCCCGGCATTTCTCCCAGGAGGGGCCCCTGCGAGCGGGGAGCTCCCCCCTCGCTGGAAGCCCTCCTGGGAAGCGCAGCCCAGCCCTGGCCGGAGGCGAATACCTGCGCGGGGCACGGCCTCCCCACGCTGGGTGCCAGCGGCCGGGCGCGGGGCCAGCCTGGGTGCGGAGGGACTGGTGGGCGCGAGGAGCGTCCCGGCCGCCAGCCCCGCCGGGATGGGCGCAGGAGGGACGGGATGGCACGGCGACACCCGCCCCAGACACGTGTCCACCCGGATCGTGCATCCCGACGGATGCCGCGGGGCACGGGAGCCGGGGACCCCCCCCCCCCCCCCCCCCCCGGGGGGGGGCCCCCCNGCGCCGCGGGCCCCCCCCCCCCCCCGCCGTGCCGGGGAGGCTCCCACCAAACACGGGAGGATGGAGCGGGGTGGTTGAAGGCAGCCCCCCAGCAACACCCCCAAGCATCCCCGTGCCTCAGTTTCCCCGCAGCTCTGCCCGGGCAGGGGTGGGTGCTGCTCCCCGCTGATGTCCCTCTCCCTGCCCGCAGGATCCGGCCTGCCCGGGACGGCGCTGAGCACCACATGAGTGTCGGAGCAGCATGGCCAGCGACGCGAGGATGGGGGAGACCCCGGCGCGGTGGAGAAGAGCCCCGGAGGCAGCGCAGGACTCCCGGGGGATGGAGAGCAGCGGGATGCTTTTATCCCGAAGCGCCGCTGCCGAGCTGGGACTCCAGGGCTACCCGGAGCCCGGCAAGCTGAGCTACGCCATGGAGAAAGGATGTCCCTGGAGGGGCTCCGAGGGATGTCTGGGACCCGTCCGGGAGCTCGCCGGTGGCCGCCTGGGCTGTCCCTACCCACCGGCCCCGCCGTGCCTGCGGGACGCCCTGAGCCGCCCCAAGGACGGAGCCGAGCTCCCCCCGCTGCTGCACCCCCGGAACGGGCAGCCCAAGGCGGGCTGGGGGGAGCCCTGCAAGGAGCACCCGGGGCCGCGCTGGGCCGAGGCCGTGCTGGCCCCGCTGGCCCTCTACAGCCACGCGTACCACCGCTACCCCCTGCCCGTGCCTGGGCTGGACACGCCGCGCCCCGGCACCGCCGGCAAGCCCCGTAGCGCGGCGGGGGACGCGGCAGGAGACCCCCCGGCCTTCCACCATTGCCCCTTCCTCGTGGAGGCCAAGCACAGCCCCTTCCTCCTGTCCTCGCTGCTGCCCAGCGGACCCCCGGCCGAGCCCCCGTTCGGCGGCGCGGGGGCGGAGGGGCCGGGCCCGGGGGGTGACGGGCGCTTCGCTGGCCTGGACTGGCGTTTGTGCTCCTACGCGCCCGCCTGGGGACAGCCCCTCTACCTGGGGGTCCCGCCGAGGTGCAAAGCGGCTCCGGCCCCCTTCGACGACTGCTCCAGCTCAGGGAACAAGGTAGGACACCTCGGAGAGGCTCCGGAGCGATGATGCTCGGCGGTCCCGGGGCTCCCCGGAGGTGACAGCGGCTCCAGCCCCGCCTGAACCCGGCTGGGAGAGGTGATGCTGGCACCCGCACCCGGGCGGGGCCTGGCAGCACCCCCAGAGGGGGCACAGCCCTCTGCTCCCCCCGCAACTCGGCAGGGGGGTCCCGGCCCCCCGAGCGCCGCCGGGGTGACGCTGCGCTCCGCGGTGTCCCCGCGGGTGATGCCACCCCCGGGCTGAGTCACGGCGGCGGAGCCGCGGCACGGGGGCGGAGGGAGGCAGCCCTGCCAGCTCTGGGCGCGCCCGTCGCACCCCGCGCTGCTGCGGCTCCCCATTCCTTTCCCACGCTGGCAGCGGGGGACACGGGCACCCGAGGACCCAGCCCCGGGCACCGGGAAGCACCGGGCGGCTGCCCAGCCTGGCAGGGCTGTGGGGAAACTGAGGCAGGGGAACGGAACGCTCCCCTTCATCCCCTCGCAGGGATGTGGGTGACAGATGCGGGACGGGGACCCCCAGCTGGGGTGACACCGCACCTCTGCTCCCTTCCAGGAGTTTTACGCCAAGAAAGGACCCGGGTTCCACCCCTCGACCAAGAACCACGCGGCGCCGCAGCTGCTGGGCAAGGGCCAAGCAGGGCACGACAGAGACGGGGAGGGGGAGCCGGCGGTGCCGGAGCTGCCGGGAGCCCCGTGGAGGGATGGCCGGGCGGGGGGCAGCTCGGCGGTGCCTGCTCCCCATCCCCGCACGCCTCCCCCCGGCGCCAGCCGCCCCCTGTTCCTCCTGCAGCCCGGCTCGGGGGGCTGCGGGGGGCCCTGGGTGGGCGCACAGCCCCACGGCGCCGATTTTTCCATGGACGCGGGGCCGGGCCGGCCCTCGGAGCCCAAAGATGAGCGCCTGGGCTACAGAAGTGCACAGCCCGGCTCGCCCCCGGCATGCGGGGAGCCCCATCCCTCGTCTCTGCTGGCGGACGGGCACTACCCAGCGGCTCCGGCCAAGCCCGAGCCCCCCCCGGGCTGTCTCTGCCCCACCCCGGGCTGCGATGGGTGCTCGGGGGTGGGCTGCGGGGTGCCCAACCCCTTCGAGCCCAGCCTGGGCATGGCCGGGGGGCGTTTTCCGTGCCCCCCCAGCAACCACACCAAGCTGAAGAAGACGTGGCTGACGCGGCACTCGGAGCAGTCGCTGCCTCGCTCCAAAGCTTCCCGGCGGGACGGGGGTCCCGAGCCCCCCGGGGAGGGAAAGCGCTCGGCCAAACGCCCCCACGGCACTGCCGATGGTCCCCGCCCCGCCGGCGAGGGCGCCGGGGCGGCCAAAAGGGGCACCAAGGCCACCGCGGGCCCGGGTGATGGCACGGAGAGCGCGGGGGACGCCGAGGAGAGGAGGATGGAGCTGGGAGAGGAAGGTGAGGATGCACAGGATGCGCAGCGGGGCCGGGGAGAGGGCGGGGGCAGCACCCGATCCCGAGGGAATTTTGCATTCCGGTTCCCGGCGCCCACAACACGAGCTGGGAACACGTGTGGGCTGCGGAACCTGCTGCGCTGGGGTTTTTCCCGGCGTGACCGGGTCTGGCAGCGATTCCCGGGGTGGGCATGGATCGAAATGTCCCTTTGGGGCAGCGTGACACCCTCGGGTGGGATTCCCGGGGGTTGGGAGCTCTGTGGTTGAGGCAGTGACTCCTCGGGGATGTGTTGGCATCCCAGGCCTGACCTCTGAGCAGCTCCAGCCCTACTTTCCAGCCCTACTTTCTGGCCCAGTTTCCAGCCCCCGCCACAGCGTGCCAGTCACAGGATCCTGGAATGCTTTGGGTTGGAAGGAACCATAAAAAGGACATTAAAACCCATCCAGTCCCTGCCCCTTGCCATGCCCAGGGACACCTTTCACCATCCCAGGCTTCTCCAAGCCTCGTCCAAGCTGTCCTTGGGCACTTCCAGTCCCTCCCAGCTGCTGTGGATGGGGCTCCACGGTGTCCCCAAGCGCCTCCCTTGTCCCCAGAGCCGCCGAGCTGTGCGGGGGAGCCGTGGTGCCTGCAGAGCCTGCCCTGCACGGCGCTGCCCCCCAGCATCCCCCGCTGCTGTGCCTGTGCCCCCCGCGCCGGGGGGGACCCCGAGGGCGAGGATGAGGAGGAGGAGCCCCCCGAGAGCACCTGCAGGCTGCTGCACTTCCGCAGGTGAGCCCGGGGTGAGCTCAGGGGTGGGGGCGTCCAGCAGGACGTGCCAGGGGGCAGTGGAGCAGCCCCTTGTTTTAAATATCGCTTTTGATAACCCCACTTTGGAATATCCCCTTCAATCACCCCGGTTCAGGGTATTTCCTTCCTGTCACCCAACTCTAGAGCATCCCCTCCCTTCACCTCACTTTGGAGCATCCTCTCTGTCACCCTGCTTTGGGACACCCTCTCCTGCCACCCTGCTTTGGAGAATCCTCTCCTGTCACCCTGCTTTGGGACACCCTCTCCTGTCACCCTGCTTTGGGACACCCTCTCCTGCCACCCTGCTTTGGAGAATCCTCTCCTGTCACCCCACTTTAGAGAATTTTCTCCTGTCACCCCACTTTCTTGTCCCGTCCTTTTCTCCTTTTTTCTCCTCTCCCACCACCCCAAGTTTTCACCTCTTGTCTCATCACCCCATTTTGAGCACCCCAACTGTGTCCCCTCTCCCTGCAGGTTCGCCCTGGGGGACAGCGGCGAGCTGAGCGTCGATGGCCTCTGCACCTTGGGGGAGGCCGAGGGGGAAGCGGCCGTCCCTGATCCGGGGGTCAGGAATGTGGGGAGCAGGAGCGTGGGGAGCAGCCTCTGCCTGGCCAAGTACCTGCTGGGGGTCCTGGGGGACCCTTTCTGCACCGCCGTCCGCAGGGACAGGGACACGTGGCCGGGAGCCCCCGGCGGGCCCGAGGGTGAGCAGGGAGCAGGGTGGGGGTGACACTGGGGACGTGGGGACGCGGGGAGACTGAGGCTGTGTTTCCAGCAGGGGTGACAGGCTGGAGGCGGGGGGAAGGAGCCCCCCAGCTCTGTGACGCCTGCCAGCGTGGCTTCTTCAACTCCCACTGGAGCTGCGCCAGATGTGGCTTCCAGCTGTGCCCCGAGTGCCACCGCAGCCGGCGGGAGGAGAGTGGCCCTGGTATGGGGACGGGGAGGGGTGGAAAAAGGCGGTGTCAGCCGTGGGGGGCTTCGTGGGGACAAACGCAGCCCCTCTCTGACACAGAGGGTCCGGCGCTGCCACCGGAGTGCGCCCCCGGGCGGGACCACCACGTGTCATCGCTGGTCCCCACGCAGTTCGTCCCCACCTGTGGTGAGTGCGTCCCCCAGCCCCAAAAACCCCCTTGGCCGCTGCTGGGGGGTTGACACCCCTGTCCCCATCCGCCCGCAGTCCTGACCCGGCTCTGGAAGCTCCTGCACCAGGTCAGGGTCAAGTTTGGCATCGAGTCGCACTGTCCCTGCGGGGCGGGGGCCGCGGAGCCGAGCCTGGCGGAGCCCCCGGACAGGCAGGTACGGGGGGGCTCTGGATGCTGGGGAAAAGGGGGTGCGGGTGCGCCCCAGCCCCGCACAGGGCATGGGATGTGGCTCCCACCTGGATCCCCACTGCTGCGGGTGTTTCAGGAACCGCCGGGGGCCGCGGTGCCCACCCTGCCCCCCCGCAGCCACGGCCCCGCAGACCCCGCCCGGCCCATCAAGGAAGGTAGGGCCGGCTGCGACCCCCCCGCCGCGGGCACGGCCGCGCTCCGGGGGGGTCAGGGATGCCGCACCCCGTCCCTTTTTGGGGTGCCGGGTAGGGGGTGAAGTGCAGAGGACGGCGTGGGCAACCCTGACCGTGTTCTCCCCCGAGCAGAGAGCCCCGAGGGGGGCCCGCCGTCCCCGGGGCAGCCCCCGGCGCGGGTGGGGGGCGTGCAGAGCACGACCCTCTGCGACCTGCTGGCCTCCACCGCCGTGAAGCTGTGCCTGGGGCAGGACGGGGTGCGCATGGCCTTCGCCCCCGTGGCACCGGCGCTGCCCAACGTGAGTCCCGCGACCCTCGGGCCACCCCGTGCCCTGCTGCCCACCCCATTCCCTGCTGCCCACCCCGTGCCCTGCTGCCCACCCCGTGCCCTGATGTGACGGGTGGGGGGGGGGGGTCCGCGTGCGCTGAGGGTCTCCCCAATCGCGTCCCCCCCAGGACAATCGCCTGACCAGCATCCTGGACAGCATCATCGCCCGCGTGGTGGAGAAGAAGATCCAGGAGAGGCAGGTAGGGGCCGAGCTGAGCCCCCCCGGCTGCCCGGACCCCCCCGCATCCCACTGCATCCTGGCCCCCAGCGGGCTGCTCTGGCTGCACGACCCCGGCCACGCCAGCAACTACAAACTGTTCCAGGAGCACTGGAGGCAGGGCCAGGTGAGCCCACATTCCTGGGTGTGGGGTGACACCAGGAGCCCCCGGTCCCTGGGTGTGGGGTGACACCCGGAGCCCCCCAGCTTCCCCACTGAGCCCCGGCTGCCCCGGCAGCCTGTGCTGGTTTCAGGGCTGCAGAAGAGGCTGGAGCCGCGGCTGTGGGCGCCCGAATCCTTCCAGCCCCCGGGGCAGGAGGAGGAGGAGGTGGAGGCGGTGAACCTGCGGGCACCGCGGAGCAGAGTCCGGATGAGCAGCCGGCAATTTTGGGATGGCTTTGCCGCCAGCACAGGTGAGGGGACGAGGAGTCTGTGGGGTCCCCGGTGTGATTTTGGGGTAAGGTCTGAGGGGAGCCAGGCTCCATCCCTGTTGTGGCTTCCTCCACAGCATCCCCCGAGCAGGAGCAGAGCAGCGGGGACCTGCTGAAGCTGGAGCGTGGCCTTGGGGACACGGAGCTGAGCCGGTAGGTGACAGCTCAGGGTGGCATCACCCCGACGTCCCCTCCCCACGCCAGCTGGCTTGGCCAGCGGGGCTCAGTGGGGTTGGGGGGGAGGTCCTGAGTGTCACCACCACCCCCCCGTGCCACAGGGCCACCAACCTGCAGGCCAGCCTGCCCCTGCCCGAGTACTGCGCGGCCAGCGGCCGCCTCAACCTGGCCAGCTACCTGCGGAGCCAGCGGGGCCGGCGCTGGCTCCGCCCGCGCGTCTGCGTGGCCTACGGTGAGAGCGGTACCGGGGCTTTGGGGGACACCAGGGCTTTAGGGGGCTTCAGGGCTTTGGGGGGCTGCCAGGGTTGGGGGGGCGCCGGGGCTTTGAGAGGCATAGGGGCTTTGTGGGGTACCGGGGCTTTGGGGGGCAGCCGGGCCTTGGGGCTTCCCGGGCTTTGGGAGGCACCCGGGTTTTGGGGGGCACTGGAGCTTTGGGGGTTCCCGGGCTTTGGGGAGCAGCCGGGCTTTGGGGGGTTCCGGGGATTTGGGGGGCACAGGGGCTTTGAGAGGCATAGGGTCTTTGGGGGTTCCCGGGCTTTGGGGGGCAGGCGGTCTCGCCCCTCCCGCACCAATCCCCCAAATCCCTTCCAGGCGCGCGTCCGCAGCAGCGGAACTTCGGGACCAAAGCCCTGACGGTGGAAGCGGCCGATTCCATCAGCGTCCTGGCGCACGCAGCGCCGGCTCCGCGGGGTACGGGGCGCGGTGCGGGTCCCCCCACTCCCACCCCCGGCCCCTGGGACCCCCCTGAGCCCCGTGTTCCCGCAGAGCTGCCGCTGCCAGCGGACACGGAGGAGCTGGAGGCGCCGCTGCGGGCGCGGCTCGGGGCGGGCGGGCGGCCCGGCGCCCTGTGGCACATCTACCGCGCCGAGGACGCCGCGCGGATCCGCGAATTCCTGCTCAAGGTGGGTGCCACCACCTCCGTGCCCGCTGCGGCGCCCGGCTCCGCTCACCCCTGGCACCCCACAGGCGGAGCAGGAGCCGGGGCAGGAGGGGGCGGCCCCGGCGGAGCCCCCCGGCCGCTACCTGGACCCCGGCCTGCGGCGGCGGCTGCGGGACGAGTGCGGCGTGAGCGGCTGGAGCCTCCTGCAGCTCCCGGGGGACGCCGTGCTGGTCCCCGCCGGGGCTCCCCACCAGGTAGGCGGCCCTGAACCCCTCCCCGAGAGGCTGTGCCAACCCTCTGGGGAAACTGAGGCACGGCAAACGCTGATGCGGCCGGGCAGGTGCAGAGCCTCGGCGGCACCATCAGCGTGGAGCAGCAATTCCTGTCCCCGGAGAGCGCCGTGCGCCTCCGGCACCTCGGCACCGGCCCCGCAGGGACCCCGCGCCAGCTCCGCGCCCAGGTGCGTGCCCCGGGGGAAATTTGGGAGCGCTCCGGGGGAAATTTGGGGGTGCCGAGGTGGGGTGAGCGGTGCTGAGCCCCCTCTTTGCTTCCTCGCAGCTGGACGGGATGATCTTCGCCGCCGTGAGGGAGGCACTGGGGGTCCTGCGGGGCTGCCAGTGAGGGCACGGAGCGACGGGAGGACACCGGGAGCCTCGGGCACGGTCACAGCCACTGCCGGGACACCGGGAGCCTCGGGCATGGGCACAGCCGGGACACCGGGAGCCTCGGGCACGGCCGGGACACCGCGGGGAGCCGGGACCGGGCGCCTTCTGCTCGGTGTTTTGCTCCCAGAGCTGCCGGGAGGGCTCGGGGCAGGAGGAATAAAGTGCCCAGAGCATGCCAGGGCCGCTGGCACCACCAGCACCCAGCTCGGTGTGTCCCTTTGTCCCCCCGCCATGCCATCGGGGTCAGGGGGCTCTGGTGGCAGCACCAGCCCCCAGCTCGGGTGTCCCTTCATCACAGGCAGCTGCAGGCTGCTCTCCCTTCATGCCCTTCCACCCCATCGTGGTCAGAGCTGCTCTTCCTTCATCCCAGTGGGGTCAGGGCTGCTCCAGTGGCACCACCAGCATCTGGCTCAGGGTCTCCCTTCCCCCCCCTCCATCCCATGGGAGTCAGGGCTGCTCTCCCTCCCTCCCTGCCTCCCTCCCTCCCTCTCCATCCCACTGGTGTCAGGGCTGCTCTCCCTCCATTCCCCTCCATCCCCTCGGCTCCGAGGATGCTCCACCGTCACCACCACCATCCTCCCTCCGTCCCATGGGGGTCAGGGACGCTGCGGTGTCCCGGGATGGGGGGAGGTGGCAGAGCCGGGGCTGGCAGAGTGCCACGGAGGGCCGCTGGCACCACCAGCACCCAGCTCGGTGTGTCCCTTTGTCCCCCCGCCATGCCATCGGGGTCAGGGGGCTCTGGTGGCAGCACCAGCACCCAGCTCGGTGTGTCCCTTTGTCCCCCCGCCATGCCATCGGGGTCAGGAGGCTCTGGTGGCAGCACCAGCCCCCAGCTCGGGTGTCCCTTCATCACAGGCAGCTCCAGGCTGCTCTCCTTTCATCCCCTTCCACCCCATCGTGGTCAGAGCTGCTCTTCCTTCATCCCAGTGGGGTCAGGGCTGCTCCAGTGGCACCACCAGCATCTGGCTCAGGGTCTCCCTTCCCCCCCCTCCATCCCATGGGAGTCAGGGCTGCTCTCCCTCCCTCCCTGCCTCCCTCCCTCCCTCTCCATCCCACTGGTGTCAGGGCTGCTCTCCCTCCATTCCCCTCCATCCCCTCGGCTCCGAGGATGCTCCACCGTCACCACCACCATCCTCCCTCCGTCCCATGGGGGTCAGGGACGCTGCGGTGTCCCGGGATGGGGGGAGGTGGCAGAGCCGGGGCTGGCAGAGTGCCACGGGCCCGTCCAGCCCCTGGCAGAGGGCAGAGGGCAGCGGTGCCATGAGTTCGGCCCGGGCTCAGCCCCGGCAGCCTCACACACAGCTGGGAACAGCTGGATGGCGCTGCCCAGAGGCTGCGGGAGCCAGGGCGCTGCTCCGTTCTGTCCGATGGAGGAAAATGACTGAACACCGCCGGGCAGTTAGCACGGGGCAGTTAATTAACACCGGGCATTGGGCACGGGGCAATTAATTAACACCGGGCAATGGGCATTGGGCAAGTAATTAACACCGGGCAATGGGCACTGGGCAATGAATAAGAGGCGATGGGCACCACGCGATGACCCCCGCGGAACCAGCACCCATTAATTAAGTCCGCGTAATTAACTCTGCGCCACGCTCCCACGCGGCCTCTTTAAGGCCAAGTCCCGCCCGATGTGAGTGGCAGCAGGATCAACCAATCACCAGCGAGCTGCGCCGGCGGGCTGACCAATAGGCGGGGAGCAAGGGGGCGGGGCCGGCGCGGCGGAGCCCCGGCGCGGTGAGTGCGCGGCGCATGCGCGGGGCGGGGGGGGCGGCGGGTCCCGGAGCCCCCCGGAGCTGCTGCCCCCCCCGAGCTTCACTGCGGCCCCCCGACCTCAGCTCAGCCCCCCGAGCCTTGCCGCGCCCTCCTGACGCTTCCCGCAGACCCCCCCATCCTCCCTGCGTCCTCCTGATGCTTCTGGCAGCCCCTTCCTGCAGCCCCCCGACTCTTTCTGCATCCCACCCATCCTTAGTGCAGCCCCCCGAACCTTGCTCAGCCCCCCTCCCCGTGCACCCCACAATCGCCGGACCCCCTCCCTCACCACCCCCTGCAGCCCCCCCGGCGCCGCGGCTCTTTGTCCCCTCGCCTGCACGTCTGGGGGGTCCCCTCGCCGCCCCAGAACCCCGCCACGCCCTGAGCTGGCCCCGCTGCCGCCCCCAGCTGCCGCGGGACCCCCGCCCCCATGGGGGACGCGCCGCTGCCCGAGCTGGAGGCGGTGCTGGATGGAGGCGCCTGGGATGTGGGGGCGGCTTTCGAGGGGTCCCCCGCGCCCCCCGGGGTCCGCCTGGGCAGGAACGTTTGCTACGTCGTGCTGGCCGTGCTCTTCAACCAGGAGGTGAGGCAGCCCCTGCTCCCAGTGCCCCCCAGTTCAGCCAGAACATCCCCCCAGTGCAGCCAGAACATCCCCCAGTGCCCCCAGTCCAGCCAGCCCTTTCTCTCCAGCGTCCCCAGTCCAGCAACCCCAGTAACTCCCAGTACCCCAGTCCAGCCCCCCCTTCCCCCGGTACCCCCAGTACCCTCATTCCGCCCAGTACCCAGTCCTCCCGGTCCCTCCAGTACCCCCGTTCCCCCATTCCCCCCATTCCCCGCAGGACGCGCTGCTGCTGGTGCAGGAGGCCAAGCCCGAGTGCCGGGGCCGCTGGTACCTCCCCGCGGGCCGCATGGAGCCGGGCGAGGGCATCGTGGCGGCGCTGCGGAGGGAGGTGCGGGAGGAGTCGGGGCTGGACTGCGAGCCCCTGACGCTGCTGGCGCTGGAGGAGAGGGGCCCAGCCTGGATCCGCTTCGCCTTCCTGGCACGGGCCACAGGTTTGTGGTGCCCCGAGGGGCGCGGGGGGCTTGGGGGCCCCGTGGTGGGTAGCAGTGTCCCCTGCCAGTCCCAGGGTGGGTACCCGTGTCCCCTGCCAACCCTGTGATGGGTATCCCTGTCCCCTGCCAGCATCATGATGGCAAGTGGCATCCCCGCGATGGGAATCTGTGTTCCCTGGCACCCCCATGATGGAAAGTGGCACCCTTGTGACAGGTATCCCTGTCCCCTGCCAGCCCCGTGATGGGTATCCCTGTCCCTTGCCAGTGTCACGATGGAAAGTGGCACCTCTGTGATGGGTATCCCTGTCCCCTGCCAGCCCCATGGTGGGTATCAGTGTCCCCACCCCACCCTGTGCCCAGGCATCAGTGTCCCCTGCCACCTTTGTGCCAGCTCTCTGGTGTCCCCTGCAAACCCCATGACGCATTTCAGCACCTTCGTGCCACGCCATCGCTGTCCCCTGCCACCACCCCCAACCCCCACGCAGGGCCACCAGTGTCCCCTCTCCGCCCATCAGGGGGGTCTCAATGCCCCACCAGTGTCCCCTCTCTGCCCATCACGGGGGTCTCAATGCCCCACCAGTGTCCCCTCTCTG